CCTTCTCCTCCATTCTCTTCTCAGGATCTTGGGCACGCACGCACACGCGCCCGGCGTGAATTTTAAGCCACCGTGTCCGGGACGTGAACCGTGGTCGACTACGTGGGAGTCCAGCGACATAGCCATTACGCTAACTGCTGGTTCCCTATTTACTTTTTTTTTGAGAGAGAGAGATTTTTACTGTAGGGGGTGTGCACTTGCCATAGAGACAGAGAGAGACATAGAGACAGAAAGGGAGAAATCATTCCCCCTAGGAGGGAAGGCCATGCTGCAATCCCTTCTCCTCCACTCTCCCCTTGGGATTTTGGGCATGCAAACACACGCACACATGTCCAGCGTGAGTTTTAAGCTGCTGGGTCAGGGACTCAAACAGTAGTCAACTATGTGGGAGTCCAGCAACATAACCATGATGCCAACTGCAGGTACCAACTGTTTACTTTTATTTGCTAGTGTAGAAATGGCCTTCAGCAATGGCTAGACTTTTTTTACAACCTTTGACTATTACCCTTTTATTGTTTTCTTGGACCTATATTTTGCTTTCATCTTTAGTATAAAGTAGAATTTTAAGATAAAAATAAAAGTCTAAGTTTTTCCTTCTCAGATATGAATAGCGTTTCTTTCCAAGACCATTTAAAAAAAATGGAAATTTCATAATTCTTTGTACCCCAGGTAAATTTACTTGGCTCATCTTTTAAAAATGGAATGTATATTCATGTCCTTATTATCGAAAATGATGAGTCTAAAGATTTAACCTTCTTTACCTTCAGTGTTGGGGAAAATAAAACTTACTGTTGGGTTTCCTTTACCACCTGACTCCATTTTCTCGTTACCCATCTTCAACTGAGCATCCCTGCTGCACACCCAGCTGAAATCTTTATAATGTTCTGAATGCCAAACTGACGGTGCTGTTTTTCAACACCTAGGTTCTATCACTACCGTATAATTTGTCACTGTTTTGAATGCCTTCTTCTACAAACTCTGACCCCTCTGTCCAGGTGAACCTCCTACTACAGATTTATTCATGACCTTGCTCAGGACTTGTATAACTCCACAAGGAGATTCTATTTTCTCTTTGGGGAAGTCATTCCTTAAGGCTGGTTGCTAGGTTTCTTCCATCTTCAATCCTTTCTGGTAACAGCAAATACAGCCTTAAATGGATTATAACGAAATTGCCCTCTAGATCAATCTAGAAAAGTACATCTGGCTTCCTACAAGATAATACTTGTAATATTTGAATGCACCTATTCCTTGTTCTTCCCTTTCTTAAGCAAAACTCAATACTTTTTTTCTTCTCTTATGTTTTGATCTGCAAATATTGTTATGTACTGGGTTCTCTCCAACCTAAATAAATTTTTCTCCTTTATTTGATAATAGTATCCGTAAAATATTATCTCCAACAGGAATTTTACACTGGATATAAGATTTGGATTCATTTATTTAAAACTGTCAACTGAATGTTTACTATGTGCCAAGCATGAGCATCAAAAATTCACTAAATCCTGAACTAAATTCTTCATTAATTTTCTAAATGTATGCTTTGATTTTATTTTCCTTATTTTTTTTTTTCATGAAAACACTGTCTTTACATTTGTCTGGCCTTAACGGAGTACAGTAATCTTTAACACCTCTCTCTCCATGGCCCACTACGTTCCATCAGTTGCCAAATTCTTTCCCACCTATCTTTATAAATATCTTACTTTTCTTTCTTTCTTTCTTTCTTTCTTTCTTTCTTTCTTTCTTTCTTTCTTTCTTTCTTTCTTTCTTTTTCTTTTTTTTTTTTTTTTTTTTTTTGTGTGATTTTTGCTATAAGGTGCGTGTGCTTGCCAGAAACACAAAGAGAGACAGACAGAAAGCGAGAAATCACCCCCCGGGGGGATGGTCACACATGCAATCGTTTCTCTTCCATTCTCCTCTCAGGATCTTGGGCACACATGCACATGCACCTGGTATGAGTTTTAAGCCACCAGGTCCAAGACTCAAACTGCGATCGACTACCTGGGAGTCCAGCAACATAACTATTACACTATCTGCTGGTCCCTAAATGTCTTTTAAAATAACTAGTGGCATTGTAGTTAAAGATGCTAGACCCCATATGGCCAACAACACAATCTGAATCCCAAACCCTGTCACTTAAAAATCCATGTGGAAACACATG